ATATATATATATATATATATATTTTTTATTTATTTCTGTTTAAAGAATTTGTATAAAAGAATTAATAAATAATAAATATTGAAGGCCGTTAACCACACTAAATGTGCCAAAATTTCGTATGTCGTCAGTAAAAAGCAGAAATCTTTGTCCCTATATATATATATATATATAAAGTTTGAATTGGGATCTTTTTTACCCAGACAATACGATATGATAATAATAAATACACGAAGTGCGTCACAATTATCGCATTTCTGACACATAATATGTACAAAGCCATAGGAAATATTGACGAAAAATGCATATATTACAAGATGAATGAAGTCAGGCGCAATTCAGACAGAACTTGCATATTATGCGAAGCTTATGAATGGGTATCAATCAAAGACGTGCGGGTGAGTTTAATAATTTACACTTGAGGTTACAGGCTCAAGAACCAGAAAGAAGCAAAATACTACTTATTATACTTATAAAACATCAATAAAAGCAGCGATCAGGGTGTACTATATTATTTAATACAATACGACTCCTGGAAAAATTGTGCAAATGGAGCAGTAGCTCAAATTAATGTGATCTTAAATGCAGATAGACGAAAGACAGGTATCGACCAATGCAATCCTTTTTCTCATAATTACCTGTAAGTTGTGTCAGGGTGTTAATAACAAACAGCGAGGACTGTCGTAGGAATACTGTTACAGCTTGGTCTTAAATCTTCAATCTTCGAATAACCCGTCCTCACGCTCCTTGTGACCGACAGTTAGAGAGTACGCCAACCTTCAATAAGCACCGTTTCTTAAAGATTCCCACTGTTTATACTGTGGAGCGAAAGGGTGAGAGTGACTGAGTGGTTGTCTCACAGCTGGTGTCGCTTGCAAGCAAACAACACAAACGCCCCCAAGCGGGCATCTAAATAAAGTGACCACGAGATGAAGATCGGCATAGTCTCGGAATTTATGTATTGGGATTGTCGTAAGATTGGGGAAATTGCTATTTCTTTTGCAACTTTGAACTACCTGAAGGCACATGAAGAAAATAGAAAGTCCGCCATCCATTTAGTTATAACGGTTAGGGTTAGCCTGACTTAAGTGGGCAAAAATCTCGGGCCAGGCTTACCTGTACAAATGAATGGGAAGCGGACTCTCTGTCATGGGAGACTTTCTGTCAGTTATATGGGACATCCGTATAAGTCCAAAGACAATTCTGAGTGATTGGATCTACATGTAATACATTAGGGAAAAATTGCATATTTTTCTGGTTCTGGGTCGTGTGAAAAAATTTAAAAATCAATTAAGTGATTATTCCATCGATTGAATTGCTGGAACCTTAATTTGTCTCCTGTATTCAACTTACTTCTCATTCATTTCCTCTGGATTATAACAAACAAGTTTTACTTTCGACAAATACGCCAATTAAGTGCGTTTATAGTCATTTTCAATATATACATGTATATTCACTTCAGGAAGGGCTTTATTTCTCCATTCATTAAAACAATTGGGATGTCAGTTCTACGGTCAACTTTACCTGCGTATGAGGCGTAAGCCTACATTTCAATAAAATGCGCTGTTTTTGTTTTTCTCGTGAACTCTGTTGAAGAGGTTATGTGGGCAACTTGTCGCATTCCAAAGAATGCCCACATATAACCTCGAGTCTTGAATATTCATCCAAAATTGATGATAGTTTTCATGAATGAAGGACAAGTATTGACAACCAATTTATTTACGTGTACATGAAAAATTTGGACACTTAATGAGGTGGGGACCAAAAATGTGATTTATAGTTATTACTCGTCCGTTGTGAGTTCCAAGCATTATATACCTCAACGATATTTTTAACAAAAAATGTTATATTCACGACAGAGCTTAAACTCGTTTTAGATAAATCTATACGGAATCTTTGTGATTGGAAGATAGTATGCTATAAGAAATGTATCTGTCACTTGTAAGTAGAATATGGTGGTTTACATGACTGGGTAAGTCAGCATTACTTCCAATGCTTAGTATCTGATC